ATTGATCGAGCCTGCAACCCGGGCATGTGCCCTGACTGGGAATTGAACCCCAATCACCTGGATCCTAGGCCGACTCTCAACCCCTGAGCCAAGCTCAAAAGTTTAAGTTTATTTTATTTTATTTTTTCCATCGCCATTTATCCCCCTATGCCCTCTTCCACTTCCACCACCCCTCATCCCAACAATCACTGCACTGTAGTCCAAGTCAAGTCTTTTGTTTTTAAAAATAGTCATCTTAAGGTTCTCTCTCCATCTCCCCCTCCCTTTCTCCACCTCTCCCTCCGTCTCTCCTCCTCCCCCTCCCTCTCTCACCCAAAACTTTCCCCAGGGCACATTCTCTCTGGAGCACACCAGAGCCTTTCTCCCTTCTTCTTCCCCTAGGCATATTATCTCTGTCTTTCTCCTAAACTCCAAGGGCCTTCTTTTGCCTCTGTAACTCATTTCCTGAACTCATGCAGCCCAGCTGGCTCATTTCTTCTACCTCTGTGACTTTCTAAATAAACTTTTGCTTGTATTTGAGTCTTGGGTCTGAATTCGTTCTTAGCCAGAACTCAAGTACCAAGGTTGCTGAACCAAGGTCCAATCGCAAGTAACATTCTGGTGCTGCTTTGTTACTAACATAAATACCTCACCCAAGATTCCATAGTTACTAAACAGATTCAAATCCAAGACCTGCAGATGACTCTGAAACTCTTTTGTATTAACTATGCTGCCTTGTTTACCAGTAAGGACATTGTTTGATTATTTGATTCATTGAATTTAGCCTTGAAGGTAGCATTATTATAAGCAAAACATAAGAGCATGTCAACTTCTATATCAGATAAATAGAATCCAAGTTGTTGTCTTGGTTGTTTTTATTTAGTTTAACTGATAGAATGTTGATTTTAATTATGTAACACGACTTGGTCATATAGGGTGTCTTGAACAAGCTCAAGAACAGTCTCACAGTCTCAAAGGTTTGGGCTCTAATACGGTCTTCTAGTATGCTTAGTCTATGTCCAGATGCATTCCACCTTTTAAATTTTCTTGTTTAAAGTGTCCATGTTGCCTAGCCGGGTGTGGCTCAGTGGTTGAACATTGACCTAGGATCCAGGAGATCGAGGTTCGATTCCTGGTCAGGGCACATGCCTGGGCTGCGGCCTCGATTCCCAATGATTCTCTCATCATTGATGTTTCTGTCTGTCTCTTTCCCTCTCCTTTCCTCTCTCTGAAATTAATAAAGATTTATTCTTAAAAAAATTAAGTGTCCATGTCTGAGAAGGTAGATCTGGGAGGTATTCTCAGCTTCCTGAGTATTATGTCTTAGTAAGAATCGAACTGTTATCAGAGGAATACATGAGTCAGATTCCTCCACTGCTTGTGGAAGTGGGGTTCTTGGGGTGCTGCTGAAGTAAGCATTTTCAGGGGTCCCCATGGAAGGATGAGATGTGGTAAAAGACTTTATTTGTGTGGAGTTACATTTCTCGGGTTGCAAAGTTCCATGGTCCTTAATTCAGTTTTGAAAAAGGGGTAGCTGGTGGGTTCAGCAAAGCCCGAAGCAGGGCCAGTGTCCAAAGTGTCCCTTCCCTGCTGGAGGTAGGTCCGGCAGAGCATCAAGCTAGTTAAAGTCCGTTAGTCCATTGTGTAGAATCCACGTGGAGTAAGTGGTGAGTGCAGGGGCGTGAGCCCCCTGCCACAGGAGAGCCAGGAGAGCTAGAGGGCCAAGAGCCATGCCAAGAGAGAGAACTCCCTTTGTCTAGGAGTTTGAATATTCAGGTTTCACATCCTTGCAGTGGCCATGCCTATTCTGGCCACTGGCTTTTCCCCAGGTGTGACTGACCAGTAAAGCACCTTCCCATGTCTCTCAGACCTTACTGGGCATGTATCCAAACTGCCTGTGTCCAGTCCCTTCCCCCAATGATCATGGAGGAACAGACTTGAGAGTGTTAAATTAACAAGGCCGTATAAATGGCATGCCTAGCCCTAGCCGGTTTGGCTCAGTGGTTGGAGCCTTGGGCCACAGACAGAAGGCTCCCGGGTTCGATTCTGGCCAAGGGCTCAGACCTCAGTTGCAGGCTCGATCCCCTGCCCTGGTCCAGGCATGGTGCGGGAGGCAAGCAATCGATGTGTCTCTCTCACAGCGATGTTTCTCTCTCCCTTACACTCTCTCTGAAAAACAATGGATAGAAGTATCCTAGGGCGGGGATTAAAAATAAACAAACAAATAAATGGCACACCTATATTATCTAGTCTTCCCTTTACTCCTTTCCTGTTAAATAATAACCAGATTATTTATTACAACGGTATCAAAACTACATCAATTCCCCTTCAGTTCAGAAAGGGTTTCCTCTAGGTCTCTTTACTATCTGAGCTACTCCTTCCTTTCCTCCAAATACCACAACCAGCAGCCATAGATTTACTAGATATCAGTAATTTTCAAGAGGCAGCTATACAAAAAAAATAAAAAAATAAAAAATAGCCAGCTTAAAATAATTAATACCCCAAAGAAGGGTATTTTGGGATGGCAAGGCTGCTCCCCCTCACACTAAACAAATATTGATTGCTTAAAAGGTGCTAGGTGTCAATTTAAGAAAGGTCTAAACCTATAGAGAATTTTTATGAGTTTATTTGAGACAAACTGACGACCGACTATTGTCGGGAAGCAAAATCTCAATGAATTGAGAAAATGCTCTGGAAAATGTCAGTTTTACCATTTATTTTACACATCTGGATCAAAGAGGAATACTTAAGGGTGTTACATGAAATCCACTGGTGATAGATTAGGGAGGCAGGAGAAAGCAAAACTGGGAAATCTCTGGGATTAGATAGAAAGTAAAATCAAATAGACATATACTTTTACTTTGGTGGGTACAGGATACTTAATAGTTAACAATGAACACGATACAACAACAATGAGGGGCTCTGTGGTCTCCTGCTCAGTGCAGTGATTGTGCCCTGAAGGGTCTGGAAAGAGGAAATTACCCAGACATTCCAAAGATATGTTATCATAGATGCAAAAAGACAATAGACAGGCTCAGTTAAGGTAAAGACTGACCTTTGTCAAGGAAAATACTGGCCTAGGACATGACTATGCTCCAAGACTCTCCTTCAGTTAGGAAGTTTTAATTTCAGAGCATCCCATGTGCTTACTTTAGGTCTTTGAGTTTGTAAGGCCGTCATGCAGGCCTCCCTTGAGCTCATCACATTTAATATGTAGCCCCTTTTCCCTCCACACTGGCATTATTCTGATCATTGAGAACAAATTGACAGCTATCTTTGGGAACTAGAGGGAGAGAATAGGATGAGACAACCTTCCATGTAAAGGTTACATTTACAGCCCAGACCCTTCCCCTTAATTCCTTCCTAGGTCTTTAATAGAATGATTTCAACCTTCTCTGTAAACCCCCCATAATTACCACAGAAACAAAAACTTTATTTGTGTACATTTTTAGGTATGCTGCAATTAGAAGGCAGAGAAGCACAAGAGGGAACTCTAAAAGGGGTGAGGGGAGCTGGAAAGGAGGGTTCCATGCCTACAGTGACTGTCAAGAAAAGCCAGAAGCAGAAGTCCTTGCTGCCTGAATAGCTTACTTTTCACTGAAATGCAAAGAAATTGGCTTCTTAAATATGCTCCCAAAGATCCGTATCTTACTCCCTGAACAGCTTTTAATGAAGGCAGGAAATTGCCAGATAATTGGTTAAGGAGAAAGACTTCAAGGGGCCAATTTCTTATTGTGTTTATGTGTTAATGTCTAGTAAGGGCAAAGACAAAAAGCTTGGTCCTGGTTTGGCCACATCACCTCTGGAGTATAGGTCCAATTACAAAAGAGATTGATGTCTCAGCCATGGCCCAAAGCTTGGCAAGCTCCCAACTTAGACCATAACATGCTAGTTTAAAAGTGTGGGGAAGAGGTCAAGTGAAGCAATAACACAAAGAGTTAATAAATCTAAAGGATGGCTTTCCGCCCTGGCCAGTTTGAGAGCCGTCCCATGCACCTAAAGGTTGCTGGTTTGATTCCCAGCCAGGGCTGAGTTGAGTACTTTTGACAGAGACGGAATGGCTAAAAGCACAAAATATTTACTATCTGGCCCTTTATAGAAAAAGTTTGCCTTACCTTACTTTTCTCTACACTATCAAAAAGAGCTAAATTGCTTTGAATAAATTGTGGTATCTGTAAAAAAATATTCCAACGGAGTGATTATTTAAGGACATAATTTAATTTAAAACATTTATTCATTGAACTGAGTGTTTCTTTTGTTATAGGATAGTAAGAAGCTAGGAAAATTCCAGGACAAGGGGAATAGGGAAACTGAGGCAGATAGGTAAACAGCAGTTTGTAGCCACCTAGTAAATCCTATCTTCCCTAAACCAAGGACACTTAAGAGTAAATGGTTTTCACTTCTCCTATCCAACTAGAGGTTAAATAGTTTAAATCACTCTACTCATGGAGACAGATAACAGAAATCCAAGGAGTGCCATTTGTCAACCACACCCAAGGACAGACAAATTAAGAGTATAAATCTCATTTTGGTCCATCAGCTTACAGCTGATGAATATTCTATTCATCCCCCAACCACCCAGCCTTTAATACCCCTAAAAAACTAAGGTCCCAGAGAGCTCTCCCTCCAGGGAGCACACTCATGCCATTTCCTCCCTCCTCTCTTCCCCCACAGGCAGGTATCTCCTAAACTTCAAGGGACCCTAAGAGACTTGCCACCAGGGAAGCAATGGGCAGTGGCAGCTGGTCTCAATCTTATATGGGATTTGATAGAAACTATATTTTGAATGCACATTTGTTAGCATCTTTTCTTTAAAAAAACTCTGCAATCAGAAAATTATTAACACTTACAGTTTTAGATGGGGCTGTTGTTCTGAGTCTGCATCCATCAGGAAACAGGCAAATCCAAGAGCTAAGGCCCCTGTCCTTGTTGCTCTGCACACTCAGAGGACTAGGAAGTCAAGCTGATTACTCACTCCATAGGTTGTACTTGCGAACCTGTGTTTCTTATTGCTCTAAATCATGAGGTAACGAAGACTGGGCTTTACTGGCATTCGGTAATCCACAGCACACTATTTCTGACTGGTTCCGGTCTCATTGTGATACTCTGGAATTATGTTTGTGTAATTTTACATGAATAAATTGATTAGTGTTTTTTCCCCCCAAAGATAATTTTCTACCTTGAATCTGATTATTTCTTTTTAGCTTTACCACAAAAGTTAAACCATTGCTTTATATCACCAAAGGGCTAGTGTTGGAGAAAGTAAATGTCCACATGTATACAGAGCTAACTACAAGGTCAGCTTTCTCAAAGGAGACATCCAAGTCTCCGGATAATACTGGTGTTACTTACCAATGTTTGAAACTTTATTTTTATTTTTTTGCCCCACCCCCCAACATAAAGGCCACAATAGGGAACCTCAGGAAAATAATTTATTTTAAAAGAAACCCCTCAAATTTCAGACAGTGATGTGCAACACCAAATAGCCTCACAGCACGGGTTGGATAGGAAAAGTCAAATGATTGGCACTTAAAAGCAGTCTCCTACTACCAAAACCCAGTGTACCAAAAAGAAAATCTCAGTTTGATTCAAATAAATAGCTAAGCCGCCATCTGACTGCCTTACATGGAAGGTGGATTAGGAGGTGGCATCTCGGTCCCCACTACTTTCCCCGTGCAGACATTAAGGTAACATGCTTCTCTCACAGCCTCTGCTCCTGGACTCCTAGCATGAAACACAAAAAGGTTGTGTGGGTGTACGGGAGGCTTTACAGGGCCACCAGCTGGTCCCAGCTGGCCCTCCCAGCCTACACACATCTCTTCCTGGTACTGAGCTCCCCCCTTATCTGAGCACCCCTCTTATCTGAGCACCACCCCGGGGAAACATGTTCAGATGCTAAAGGTGGGGCATCTTTAAATTGCAGCTGCTATGATCAATGGGGATAAAAAGCGAACATCTGTAATATTCTCAACAATAAAGATAAAGAAACTGAAAATAAATAAATAAATCGTAGCTGCTACAGAGAAAATAGAAAGAGACTAAAGAGTACTACTCAGTGTCAAATCTGAATTTTAAAAACTTTGAGCCACTTTCCCAAAATCTTGACCTCAGAAAATCCTGCTGGTCCTGTCTTCAAAATACACCCCAAATTCGTAAGTTTTCTACTATTTCAAACACTAGCACTTTAGTCTAAGACATAACTTCTTATTTTTTTTCCTAAAATTCAGGTCTCAAATCCAAAACAATTAAACTATTAAGATGTCTTGTATTTTGGGTTTTGCTCTTTTAGTTTATAAAAGAAAGAAAAATAGGGCTATTCAGTTTTGCTTGACAATCTCCAACTTTTGAGTAATTCAAATACATTAGTAATATTTTTTTGGTTAACAAATTAGAATAATATAAAAAACTGACAAATGAAAAGTTGAGTTTTCCTGAGTTAATTATTTATAACAATGTGATGTGTAATTTTAAACTTAAAACAAAAACTTCTTTTTCATTATTTGGACTGATACAATAACTGTCAACACATCAACTTAAAAAAAGAAAATTCTTTGTCAAATGGTGACATTCATAATACACTTTATGGGATACATTAAAGCCCCTGGATGTTTGTTAATGTCCTTGTTAACTCTCTTGGCAACTCCCTTTTCTTACTTGAGAGTTCATGATTATTTCACCAATATTAGGGTACAGTTTTTTGGGTTTTTTTGGCCCAAAAGTCCTTTGCTAAGATTGTTTAATGTGGCTGCTCTGCCTGTGGAGTAGCTTTCTCTCTGTCCCACTCCACTAATCAACTCTCTTTCACTTTAAATTCTAAAAACAAACAAAAGATTATTTAATGTTGCTTGTTAATGGTCAATACTTAAAAATGTAAGCTAGAATTTTCAAGTATTCTATCTAGTACAGAGAAACTCACCGTTAGAATATCACCTTCTCCCAGAAATTAAATCAGCTCAAGTGTCTCTTCTCCCTCACTTGAGCTTGCCAGCTAACAAGAGATTAAAAAACTAAATGTTTGTGTAGACACGCAATTGGATCGGTCCATTTCAAGAAGCTTTGGAAATAGAGAGTTTTTGTTTTCTTTTTTATTGACTGTATTGGAGTGACAGTGGTTAATAAAATTATATTGGTTTTGAGAGGTGTTTTTTGTATAGCATAATTTTTCTGTGAACATATCCCCATGGCAATCAGTGTTTTCCTACAGCAACTTATATTACCATTTGTTAGTGAATGTACCAAAATGCCTTGTTCTCACTCTCAATAATGCTGTCCTAAACATTCTTACCCCTAAGTCACTGCAAACATCTTAAAAACATCTGATGCACAAGTATTACCACACAGCTGGACTTTATGCCTTGACAGTGTACGTGTCTGTTTCCCCATTCCCAGTATCATTCTTTTGAGTGATACCGACTTTTATTTATTTAACCATTTTTAGTTTTACGTGGTTCTTGCCTAGTCCTAATATCTTAGCATTTGATGAATAAATCTACATTATCTTAGCTAGATATTTTTTTTCTTAGAGCCAGATGACTAATCTGTTTTCAAATAGCTGCCCTCCCTTCCCAACTATCAGTTTAGCTTCTTTAATCTCTCTTGAGGCTTGGTGTATTAACTTCCTATTGCTGGTATTACAGATTACCACAAACTTTGTGGCTTCATAAAACAAAAATTTATGATCTCCTAGTTCTGTAAGTCACAAGTTTGGTATGGGCCCCTTTGGGTCAACATCAAGGTGTCAGCAGCCTGCATTCCTTTCTGGGGGCCCTAGGGGAAAATCCATTTCTTTGTGCATCACTTTGACATTTTCTTCTGCCTCCTCTTCTTAAACTTTCTGTTTCTGCGGTGAGCAATTTTGACAGTGACGAAGAGCAGGATAAAAATGTGAGCGGAGCTGGCGTGACTGAAGCTGGGAAGCCCTCTCCGCTTCTGTCTTGCTCTCATATTTCCATGTCCTTCACAGCCTCTGCACTTTATTACCAGTATGTTAACTGGGCAGGGCAGGTTTGTTGTCATCTTTTACTTCTCCATCTCCAGCCTCGGATTTGTGTAACGAGGTTTGTTGTTCAGAATGGTCTCCGGTGGAGTTCCCCAGCCGAGAGGTTAGGTAGTGTTCTCAAGATCAACACCCGTGTGGAGTGAGACAAGCAGGGTTGGACAGAGAGATGCTGGACTCTATGGTTCTAGAAGAGGACCCGGCCAACCTGCAGGGGCCCTTTTTATTTTATTTATTTTATTTTTATTTTTTATATATCTTTATTGATTTTAGAGGGAGGAAAGGAGAGGGAGAGAGAGATAGAAACATCAATGATGAGAGAGTTGTTGATCGAGCCCACAACCCGGGCTTGTGCCCTGACGGGGAATCGAACCCTGATCGCCTGGATCCTAGGTACACGCTCAACCGCTGAGCCACGCCCTGCCAGGCCCTTTTTATTTTTTTAACCTCTTGTGCAGATCTCATAAAAAATGACAAGAAATTAAAGAACTTTTAGAAGCTTTGCTGTTCCCAAGGGGTTAACCATAATAAAAAGGTGGAGGCTCATTCAACGTGTAATGTCCCAGCATCGGGAAGAAATACCTAAGCTAACCCCTGTGCTAAAGCAGCAGCACCGAGCAAAGCAATTGCCCCCAGTGAAGGCTTGTGAATATGGCCTGGCTGTTGCTCGTTTATTTTCAGGGCAGAGTGAACGTATTCCTGATGGATAGCTAAGGTTCTGACGGTAAATTGCTCGGTTGTTATTCTGGGCCTAAGGAATTCCAGCGGATGTCTCCAGTGATGTAGGGCACGCATTTCACTGTGGTTGTTACTAAAAAACAGCTTTAAAATGTCTTTTATTAAAAACAAACACTTCACTGTTTCCAATGGATATTGAGAAAAAAATAGAAAGAAAAAATAAATTACTTTTTTGTTGTTGTTAACCTTCACCCAAGGATATTTTCTCCATTGATATTTAAAGAGAGTGGAAGGGAGGAAGGGGAGAGAGAAACATCGATGTATCCCAGGTATGTGCTCTTGACCAGGAATAGAACCCTATACCCTTCAGGCCCAGGACTGATGTTCTAACCACTGAGCCAAACTGGCCAGGGTGAAGAAATGAATTCTAAAACTAAATTTGAGAATAAATTCTCTCCAAGACCCTTGAATGTCCATGGTCTGAGAATTGCTATTAGTCTTGATGACAATGAGATCAACTCCTGGGATTCATGAGAATTCATTTAGAAATTTGCTTTTGAAGTTATACTCTGTCATATTGCAAGCTTACAATTCTAAGTATTACAAAGGACTCATTCTATGCATACAGCTTTACCATTAATAGGTCTATGCAATATTTCCCAAATATCCACCCAATCAGTTGCTGCATGATGGGAAACCTGGAGATTTAGTTTTCTGAAAGATACACAAGTTCCCAAAATTGGGAAATACTACCCTTGGCTTTGATATAAAGGATTTCATTGGGAATACTTAAACTGAAAATGCATGTGTCCTCCAGATGTAAATGATCTTTGGAAGAAGACTGACAAACCAAGACCTTCAGATCAAGCCAATTTGTCATGAAGTGGATAGATTCCACTCAAGGCAATAAAACAGGATAGATTTTTTTGATATCGCTGCCTTTCTTGTTTTCATTTTGCTCTGTTTATTCTTGTATTTTGGTGCCCCCTAGAGGTCAACTGAAAGTTTCTCAGTTCTTCCACATAACACGTTTTATCTCAATCCTCTGTAGTATTTCTCTGCCACCCAAGGAAATGCAAAACTCTCTTGCGTGTTTTTCTCAGGCTATAGCTCTTGTTCTTAATCTAACTGGGTAATGGATTGGTCATCCTCTACTTGATCTGACTAACAAAAATTTGATACTTTCAATACTTTTAAATTTTATTTTATTATTTTATTTTGAAAAATATATCTTTATTGATTTAAGAGAGAGGAAGAGAGAGGAAGCAAAACATCAATGATGAGTCACTGATCAACTGCCTCCTGCATGCCCCCTGTTGGGGATCGAGCCCAAAACCTGGGTATTTGCCCTGACCAGGAATTGAACCTTGATCTTCTGGATCCTAGGTTGAAGCTCAACCGCTTAGCCATGCTGGCCAGGCTTCAATACATTTTTAAAAGGTGGGTTTTTCTGTCCTGGCCCCATGTGGCCCAGTGGTTAGAGTGTAGTCCCTCGCACGGAAGGGTCCAGGTCAAGGGCACGTACCTGGGTTGCAGGTTTGATCTCTGAATGCAGGAGGCAACGAATTGGTGTTTTTTTCTCTCTCTCCCCCTCCCTCCCTCCCTTCCACACTCATATATGAATAACCCATGGACACAGACAATAGTGCAGCGAAGGACTGGGGTGGGGGGCAGGAGCAGGGTGGAGGGGGCCAATGAGGGGGAAAAAGGGGACATCTGTAATACTTTCCACAATAAAGATACATTTTTAAAAAAGCAACTAAAAAAATCAATAGAAAAAATATCCTTGGGTGGGGATTAACAAAAACAAACAAACAAATAAATAAATGGTAGGTTTTCTTCTTCTACAGATCCCTCTTGGAACTTGAATTTTCTTACAGTATTAATCCTATCAAAATTGGACATTGACCCCAAATAACAAAATACTTATGCTCACTTATGAAGCAAGCTTACTGGAACAGAAACAACTATAGAGGCCACATCAATCTGTTATCCTCAGTGACTCCCCAGCCTCTGCCCAGGCCTTATGTGAAGAGACTGATAAGTGTCTCACTTTCACAGTGATTCATGATACTTGTTTTCCTGTTTCGTTTGTGCAACACGAAGGTAATACTCTTTATGTGGACATCAGGCTTTCACCTGATTATGACAGAAACCTATCTTTTAAAAAAATTTTTCCTCTTATTTTTTAACTCTCATCCAAAGATATGTTTTTTTTATAGATTTTTAGAGAGAGAAGAAGGGAGAGAGAGAAACATTGATTTGTTGTTCCACTTATTTATGCATTCATTGGTTGATTCTCATTTGTGTCCTGACTGAGGATTGAACCTGAAACCCTGACGTATCGGGATGATGCTCCAACCATCTGAGCTACCCTGCCAGGGCTGCACAAACCTTTCTTGTGTATATGGAGTAACTGTTACAGACTTTTCAATATTTGAAATACCTGCTCCTACAGGAAACTGTTTCTCTGAGAAAGGTAGAGACCTGAAATGAGGGAAGCATGGACTATTCAGGAAGCTTGCAAGAGAGACAGCTGGCCTTTTCATCTATACTCTGGGTGCTCCAATTCTAATAGTAGGAATAATACAATTTAAAAATGTGGTCCAAAATTGTCTCTGACCCTAACAGAAGTCATAAATGACACTACCTTTGCTCACGCAGTCCAATAAACTATTTTAAAGTTTCATAGTGGTTATAGATGATTACATAGCCTCCAGAACTGTGAGAAATAAATACTTGTTTATAGGCCACCCAGTCTATGATACTTTGTTATAGCAGCACAAACAGACTAAAACGGTATCTGTCCAAATCTAGGGAGGCCGTTTTGGAACCTTCCCAACCCCTGCCTGGTGGGTCTGCTCCAAAATATCTTGAAATTAGATGAAGATAATTTTGAGTATCTGGGAATTGTAGAGGCAAGAACTAATCAGATAATCCAATTTGGCATGAAAGGATTAAAGATTAAGATTGGAATGGATTTTCTTGAGAAGATCTGGAGGCATCAGCTGCCCCTCCCTGAGGTGTTCCAAGAGGTGGGTTAAACTAGATGTACAGGGCCTGGGCCTTTGCTGACTTCTTCTGAGTCTTTTTCTGACCGCTTTCTGGAGCTTGTCCCTATTCTGGATCAGGAAGGAGCAGTTCAGAACATGGAAAACAAGGGCTTGGAGCGAGGAGCCATGGTGGACCATGCCTGAGAACTTTTACCTTCCATTGGTGTTTTACATGGAAGAAGAGCAGGAGGAGAGCATCTTCGGTGAGGAGCCCTTGCCCAAGCCCCCTCCCCCTCCCTTTCTTCTGGGCTTCCAACCTTTCATCTGTCCCAGGTCCCTACCCAAGAATGTCCCTATCCCATGCTGGTAGTTTAGGAGTCCCCTTTGGACTCGCAGGCCACCTGGATGCGGACCTTTGCCGTCTGGAAGGGCATGGCCATACCCTTATTCAGCTGGAGGGGTGGCTCACAGCCACAGGCCAGATGCGTCACTGTAGTTAGGCCACCTGAGGCCAGGCAGTGGCTGTTCTTCATGACCTGGAGCATGGGGAACGGGGACTCTGACCAGCAGGCCGGAGTGGCTGATAGTGGTTGAGGCCTTGATGGTAGAGCTGTGTGGTGTTGTTTCTTCAAGAATCTCTTGTGTGGCTGGAAATCCAGGTGCTTCTTGGAGCCCTTGAGAAGCAGAGGCTGGATCCACAGCTACCTTTGTGGGATGGGACAGCCAGGAAGGCCCTGGCTGGGGTAACACCCCTCCAAGTTCCCTTGGGAGTCCTGGCCTGCCCTGGGGGCCCAGTTGTGGATTCTGCCTCACGAGGAGACTCTCCGAAGGCCTCAGGATGCTGTGGAGCGTCCGGAGCCACCCATGACCAAGGATGACCTGGCAGCCGCCCCCAGCACGCAGCTGCATCCCACGACCCTGACTTTGCCAGTCAGGATGGGCAGGCCTGTCCATCTTAGGCCTCCTCAGGCTTCCCCTTTCCTGTTGACTGATTCTTCTGGATTCCATTAGATTTCACTCTCAGTAATAAAGAACGACCTCCCCAGGGCAGCTGAGATGTGAGGGAAAGTTTTGCTTGGCCTTTGGGGAGGAAGCTGTTAAGGCTGTTGACCGAAGTTTGAATTTGTAGCCTAATCCTGTCTCAGGCCTTTTAGGCATATATTTGAGACATGTCTCCTAACTGTAAGAAAGTGTTCTATGGGCAAAGATATCCAATAAAATAAGAGACTCAGTGTGCAAAGCCTTTGATGTACTGTCTTCTTTCCTTTGGATAATGACTCATGTGGCCCAGCGGGGGCTGAGATCTGGGGAGCCACCACCAGCCAACTGTGCACCCCCCTGGGGACAGCCCAATAAAGGAGTCTGAAACAGATAAGGCAGCTTTTTCACAAACTGCTTCTCTCAGACCTGGAGCCTGGTCAGGCTGCTCTGAGTTGAAAACAGGGGCTCCTAGAAGAGAAGGGACCCTTCTAGGACTCCCCAGGAGCCCCCTGTACCTCAAAAGACAGACAAATGAGAGAAGAAAAGTGTGTGGAAGGTTGTGTCTAGATGGAGACAGAAAGTGGTCTCACCCCAGCTACCTGGGGACTAGGCAGTCAGGCAGCCTGGTGAACGTAGGTGCCCAGGCACTGTCCCCAACTGCCAGGAGTTTGGGGGTGGGATTGGGAAGGGGGGTTCTGGAGCAAAGGATCCTGAGGTTCCCTTAAAGCCATGAATAAATTGCTAGTAAGGCTTGCTAAATCTCCATTCTAGCGCTTTCCTGAATGCCAAATCCATCTTTGGCTCTCTACCCTAGCTTGTGGCAAGCGGAATGCGTCCTCGCTGAACTCTTCCCTTCAGCCTGCGTCTCGCATGAGCTACTGTGGCACTCCAGGCGAGCGGAGGCGGTGACTTGGACTACAGTGGCGGGTGTGGTGAAAGTGCTACCGAATGCTTGAATTTGAAAGATAGTTATGAAGCCAGCAAGATTTGCTAATGTCATGGTTTTTGGCCAGTTATTAAGCAAAAGTTAGATGAGGTGCATGGTAGAGAAATAGTCATGAATCTGTCTGGAAGAAAACCAAACCATACTATTCTTAAAGGGAATGTCACATTTATTTCCTAATAAATAATTTAAAGATCAATGGCTCATAAATTAATCTTTTTTTTGGCAAAGACACTTGCAAAAAGACTATTTTCTCCCTCATTTAAGTTTCATACTAAGAATTATCAAATTTCCCTGGCTGGGTAGCTCAGTTGGTTAGAGCATCGCCCTAAAATGCCAAGGTTGTGGGTTTGATCCCCGGTCAGGGCACATACAAGAAGCAGCCATTGACTGCATAAATAGGTGGAACAAGAAATCACTGTTTCCCCCCATCAATAAATTAAAAACTTATCAAATTAACATTCTGCCTTCTTGGGGCAGAATTCTTATCTCTAAATCCGAGTCACCAAGGATTGCTGTGTGGGCGCAACTCAGACATTAATGTAGGAGTTAATATCCTAAACAGTGGAGTAAGACTATAGGGTGTCACCCCCAAACTGTATACACACACTTTGAATAATTATAAAGCTAAGTTTTATTAAAATACATTTCATTTTCAAAATTGAGCTATCAACTGTTAAAATGTGTATACAGTTTTTTTGGAACATCCTGCATATGCATTTAAATCTTAGCTCTACCACTAACTAGCTTTACAACTTTTGGCAGTTATTGATTTCTCAGTGCATTCTCTCATCCAGTAGTAGCTACCTGTAACTGTACAGGTATAATAAATATACTTATATATTTTGTCTACATTCATTTGCTGACTTTCTTCTAACAGAATTATAGTTTTGTGGGTCTCCCTAGTTTCAAAGGTGGGGAGTAGGGGTTCTTATTGGCTTAAGCCGATCAGGGAATACATGTGGTGACTGTTATATTCAGAAATGAGCATGTGACCTGTCTTAGTCTAACAAGTGTCAGGAAAGGATTCATGTCCCACTGTTGGGTAAAGGGCTTCCCCACATCCTCCTCTGTTAGGTGAGATCAAGGAGATATGTGGCATCAGTTGCCACTGGCATTTGTCTTACGGACAGTGAGAAGAGCCACCAGTAATGTCCTGCTGACAAGGAGGAAAGCAGAGAAGGAACTTGAAGTCTTGATGATGTAATTGAGCATATTGTACTCTGCCTAGAGCCACCATACCTCTGGCCTTCAGTTATGTCAGATAATTCAATGTCCTTATGTTTAAGGTTGTTTCAGCCAGGGTTTTTATATATCTGCTGCCGGATGTATCCTAACTGATACCTCACCTGTGGTAATGTGAGGATTAAATGAGAATACCTGGGAAGCATTTATTGGCACAATACTGGGCAGTTACTAAGCATGTTTTTCTAAAGTCTGGGACCCAAAGACTCTGTAGGCTGGCTCTGGCTATGGGCCTGGCATTGGTAGGGTATAGAGTAAAGAGAAGTGAGGAACAGCAATGTGGTGTCACAGGGCTCAGGGACAGGGGAAGGGAGGCTAGACTGCTTTATTCTTTGGAACCTGCCATGAAGTTGAGAGAGGTGAGTCCTCTCAGTGAATGGGCAGAGTCTAGGCTTGGGTATTATCTACGGGGTCTGAGCCAGTTGTGTTTGGGAGATGGAGGGGGATGGAGACCAAAGATGCCGAGGCCTAGGTGGGGATGAAGGAGAGGCTTTTCTTTTAAGTCCCATAGAAACATTATTACTCATTATTTGACATTAATTTCCTCCCAGGAAAAGTACGAAGAGCTTTGGGAGAACTAGCAGATCAAATCTGTGACAGTATGAGTGAAACTTGATGATCACTCTCACTTGGCTGAAAAGCTGCTGGAGTTGCAGGTTGGAGGTTGCTGAAAGCTGAGTAAAAGGCCCAGAGAGACCAAGAAACTCATTCATCCATCCAACATTATTGGGTGCCCACTGCATGGCACTTGTAAGAAACCCAGGTTCATTATGCCAGTGAGATGTCCCTGCTCTCAAGTAGTGTCAATCTGGGGCACCTGAGGGGACTTTGGGTTCAAGTGAAGACATTTAGGGATGGTGCTCTGGAGGGACATCTGGGCAGGAAATGTACAGCTGGGTAAGGTCATCCCGTGTTACTAGTTGAGATCATAGGTAAGATCACCTTAGGGAGAGCTCGAAGGGTCAGGGGAAAAGGGAAGAGTCTGGTGATGGAATCTGTGGGAGCACTGACAGTTAAATGATGAAAAGCAATAAGAAGGTTAGAAAAGTGAATAAAGATGTTTGAGCCAGAAAGGTAGGGGGCAAACTGAGAAGCTGTTTTAAGAATGGTTGCAGTGTTCACCTCAGAAAGTCCAGAAGGGATACTGATCGAATGTGCTCATTGAATCAACTTCTAGAAGCTCATGGCTGACCTCAGAGCAGTTCTGTGGTGTTGGGTAGGCGTGGGTCTGGTTGTCACGTGCTGGTTAGTGGGTGGGTGCTGTGAAATGGAAAAACCTTACGTAATTTATCTCATGAGCAGTTTGGTTCTAAAGGTGAGATGTAGAATAAAATACAGAGGAAGGCAAGTTCTCAAGCATCGCTGGTAACACGGGAGAAGCTTACTCATGTTATGAGGAAAAAGAATGAGAGTGAGACTCTGCAGATATGGGGAAGGAGAGGGGTAACGGCCAACCAGGGCCTTGGGAATCCGGAGCAGAGGACTCTTCCTTCAAAGGCAAGGAGTTCCCTTGCCTGGCCGGGCGTGGCTCAGTGGTTGAGCGTCGACCTGGGATCCAGGCGATCGGGGTTCGATTCCCGGTCAGGGCACATGCCCGGGTTGTGGGTTCGATCAATGACTCTCTCATCATTGATGTTTCTATCTGTCTCTCTCCCTCTCCATTCCTCTCTCTGAAATCAATAAAGATATATTAAAAAAAAAATTAAAAACACACACAAAAAACCCACAAAGGCAAGGAGTCCCCTACCCGGCTGGGCATGGCTCAGCGGTTGAGCATCAACCTAGGATCTAGGAGATCGCGGTTTGATTCCTGGTCAGGGCACATGCCAGGGTTGTGGGCTTGGTCAATGACTCTCTCGTCATTGATGTTCCACCTCTCTCTCCCTCTTCGTTCCTCTGAAATCAATAAAGATTTATAAAAAAAAACCACAAAAAGACAAAGGCAAGAAGTTCCCATAGTGGAGTGGAAGAGGCCCCACCAGTAAGCCTCATGGTGGGATCTCTGGTAACGGGAGGTGTTGCAGCATTGCCCAGGGCTCAGGTGAGGAGCCTCAGAGATGCTCAAAAGTGTCTATAATCTAGGATGTGTGTGGTGTGATGTTCTCGTGACTCACACGATGGCGAGTGGCAGCCTGAGCTGTAGATGGAGAAGTGTGAGCACCCAGTTACTTGGGGTCACAGGCTTGGGCAGGGGGTGGACAATTCAGGAAGGTAGTCACATCAGGAAGGCAGTCACAGCAATATAGGCAAAGGGGAAAGGTAGGAAGCAGCAGCAATTAATGGAGAGCTGGGTACTACTAATGATAAGAAAGTATCTGTGCAAACTTGAAAAAGTAGGTGTAGGTGTTGTGACAGTTGTGGGGACACTGCTAGGAGCATGCTGGTCTTAACTGGTCAAGAAAACTATGATAGAAATGAAGTGCCT